AAATAAATTAATTTATATTTAATTAAATAATTCGAAATTTTAAGAAAGCTTATAAATATAGTAAGATTAAAAATGATTTTATTAAAAGAGAATGTAGAGCAATTATAAATTCATCTTTGATTTAGTTTGGAGCAATAAACGATTTTGTAACTGATAAATAAATTCTCACGCCTAAATCTGTAAAGTAATTTCCATCATGTCGAAGTCTTCTAATCGTCACATTGTTCGCTCGATTCGTGTTTAATTCTTCGGTGTCGTGATCGTCCCGTTGATACATGAAAAATGGCCAAATTTTTTGGCTGGAACCCTTGTTTTTGATTGGTATATCATTCAAGACACCTTTCGATTGTAACATCGTGAGTTGAATGCTACAATTGCGTCTGTTCCATCATCTTTCCACTACGACTCTGTTAAACTGCGTAAATATTAAATATTAGTGCGGTATATTAATTTAAAATTCATCTCTAATTTTTAATTCACACTTTCTAGCGTTTAATTTTTAATTTAGAATTCATAGCTTCTAATTTTTAATTTTTAATTCGTAATTTGTAATTTTTAATTTAGAATTTAGAATTTTCAATTCCTAGTTTCGAGCTTTCTATTGTTAATTCAGAATTTCTAATTTTCAATTCAGAATTTTTAACCCTTTGCACTCCAAGCATTTCTCCATAAGATTAATAGTGAAACTTCTGAGAATCGAAAATTTTGTCTTGAAAAAGAAAAACAAGGATTTTTAACGCTTCTATTAATTTGCATTATTTTGATAATATAAAAACACCTGAATTTGACATTTTAAAGTTCTCCATTGAAGTGCAAAGGGTTAATAATTAATTCTTCATTTTGAATTTTGAATTTTTGCAGCGAATAATTGCACGAAAGCAGAAACAACCCAAAATTGAACAGAAAAGCAGAGACCCGAATATTCCAGTATTCGATCTCGAAGAGAATATAATTAACGCTATATTTAAAATTAATTCATAATTCTCAGTTTTATTCGACGTTACTGAACGAAAAAGAATACGATATTAACAACTTTCTGAATACTCATCAATTATTAATTCATCGAAAATATGATTGGCGTTTTTTCTTATACTTTTTATCTCCGTTAATATTTCACGTATAAAATCGAAATAATTCTAAATATATACGTAACATCGCGATACATTAGTATAGTAACTTCATAACCATTCCGTGGTTATTTATTTAAACAAAGAAACAGTGAAACAATTACAACAGAAGAAAACGAACATAACGATTTATCGATATTTCTCGACTCGCTTGCGGTGAACAAATCGTTCCAATAACGATCACAATATCAATGTATCTTTTCTGCAGATCACTCGTTTGATACAATCTATCATTTGTTACTCGACTTTTTTCTGCTTTCTGTCGGTTTTCCGTCCTTCTCCTGATTACATAATAAAATTACTTTTTGTGTACAATCTGTACACTTATTACTATGTAAATACAATTCGCAGCGCTGTCTTCCATGTAAATTAATGTAACAGCTGTTTCTGTTTAATAGATACTTCTTTTAACTATTATAGTTTGTCTATTAAATATTTATTAAACCAAGGAAATTTATATTTTCTTTTACTCTTATTTTTGTAATAAATGTAGACATTTTACTGTCATATTTTGTCTACTAATAATGTATTAAATATTCATATTATTAAACTAAAGAAATTCACATAATTTTCATTTCTCTGAGATTCTTATAGCGAGTAAATTTTTTAAATATTGTATTTGTAGGAACCGACGACGGAAAAATATTGAGGGACCCAACGGGAATCGAACCCGGGACCTTCGGCTTAGCAAGCCGAGGCTTTGCGCGCTACGCCAACCACTCCCTCTCTATTGTCCCTTCGAGGTTTCTTATTTAGGTATGGAGGCCCCGATACTACACTCGGCCATCCTGAACTGACATTCGCCCTCGAATGTTCTCAGTGCAACACAACTCAACATCTTTGGGCACACTCCTCCACACAGTCACACAGCCGAAACAACGCATTTTTGGGCCTCGAGATGTTTTCATCTCACAGCGCCTGGCTTCATGCAGCCGTAGATGCCTCCATCCCGGACGAGTCCCCATATGTAGGAACCGACGACCGAAAAGTATTGAGGGACCCAACGGTCCCAAGCCGAGGCTTTGCGCGCTACGCCAACCACTCCCTCTCTATTGTCCCTTCGAGGTTTCCTATTTAGGTATGGAGGCCCCGATACTACATATTACATTGTACAAAAGTAATTATTTGCAAGTGAATCGTCTACAAAAGTTTTGCACAGTTCAATGTTAATTGCCAAAATTTAATTCGTCTTTCTTTCTTTTTCTAAATGAAATCTACGTACACTTGAATGTATTGGATGATTACAAAAGTTCGTGCCCAATTTTCAAAGGTGGCGAGAACCTTGTCGACTTCCGCACAGATGTTTCTTTAGCTTGTGTTTTATTTTCAAATAATTACTCATTTCGTTCCATTTCACATGAAATCTGCTTTTGCACACACCGATTGTGTTTTACTTTCAAATCGGGCATGAACTTTTGCAGTCATCCAATACTTCTTATCGCTGAAAGCAGTCCACAGTTTGACCGAAATCTATGTATAGGGTTTCTATTTTAGAATTGAAATATTGTCAGAGAACGATCAGTTTACATTTGACCATTCTCACCTTTTTTAATTAAGATCGAAGTTAAGATAGAGCATCGTGGTAAAAAGAATTTGTACTTGTCACGTTTAGATCGTAATCTGGACCACGAGTGTAGCTAGACAGTACAGAACGAAGTTCATTCTCCTCTCAATGTCCTTTCCATTTAAAACAAACAGAATTGCCTTATCCTTCGTTATCCTCATTGTTATTTTTCTTACGAAATGCGTTTCAAATATTTTCGAACCTTTCACTTGTAAAATGAAGTAATAGTACTACTTTATCCTTCGTTATCCTCGTTTTTACTTTTACCATAAAATTCTGTCCAAATATTTTGTAACATTCCACTTTATTATTCTTATGAAATCCTTTGGAAATACTTTGGAACCTTTCGCTTGCAAAATGAAATAACAGTATTACTTTATCGTTCATTATCCTTATTTTTATTTTTACCATAAATTCTTCTCCAAACGTTTCGAAACTTTTCACTTGTAAAATAGAACAAATCATTCTTATTTTTGGCATGAAGTCCTTTTCAAATATTTTGCAAACTTTCACCGGTGAAATAAATCAAATGATATTCCTAAATCCTCGAGTATCCTTATTTTTATTTTTCTCGTGAAATTCTTTTCAAATATTTTACAACTTTCACTTGTAAAACAAAATAAATCATTTTTATTCTTACCCCAAAATCCTTTCCAAAAATTTTGCAAACTTTCACTTGCAAAATAAAACTGAAAAGCACCCAGAAACTTAAATCTCTAATGTTGTAACACCTAAAAAATGTCTAACTTGAAAAATATCACAAGTTACACGTCGCATTAATCGATATCGTTAATATGAACACGGTGGTGGCGTTAATTGCGCTAATATTTTACATTTTATCTTCGTTCAAGTGAACTGAGCTTGTATCTCGTGTTTCCAATCTCGAGGATTACGTCAGAGTGAGCTGCAGGTAGGTTAGTGTTAAGAGAAAACGCGAAAGATTAATTTTCGTAAGGATGACCGTGAAAGTGATGTCGTTTAATTAATTAATTAACTAAGAATTGTGGACATTTTACGGCGTGAGGTGTGTATCGATGACAACCGATACCAATGATGCATTTATATTCTAGGAAAGAGGTGACGTGTGTTTGTCTAGGATGCGAAGGAACGTGTTGACACTGTAAAGTTCTGTTAACTTGCAACGTTTATGTTGCTTAAGAGGGCGATATACCTGATACTATAATGGAGCATCTTACTTTTTTTCGTTTTAAGTAAAATTGTTGGCTTTTAATCAGGTAGTAAGTGGATTAAATGGAGCAAGACGTCGCAATAGTTTTCTGTGAGAGTATTGTGTATTGAATATTAGTAGTATTGAATAATATTAAATATTTTCTTAGAATTAAATATTAGTGGTGTTAAATATTTTCCTAATATTCAGTATTAATAGTATTAAATATTTTCTCAGTGTTCAATATTAATAGTATGAAATATTTCCTACAAAAGTAAATAAGATATTTCGTTTAAAAAATTTGTAATTTCCAAATTACATTCAAATTAGTTTTAATTCACTATCGTGAAACTTCATATTTACTTATTTAATTTAAATAAACCTTTGGAATCTTGGACACTTTATATTCACTTATACAATTTACATTAATCATTTCAGTGTTTCAGCATCCTTTTGGAAAATTTTTCCCCCTTTTATATGAAACTATCTTAACACAATTTAAATTTACTATTAATTTAGTTTCTCTTCAATAAGTATAAGGAATTTACCTACACCAAATCCTCGTTACTTTTAACACACTAATATCGAATTATGTCTCCTTCCAAACCATTCGAATTTACTCGAAAATTGTACGATAACCTTTAAGTTCCATAAAGAAAAAATGTTAACATTCGTCTTTCCTTTTATTTCAGATATTAAGTTTCAAACAAGATAAAAATTAAACGAGAATTAACTGTAAATACTGAGAAATACTCAAAATTCACTCTAAATAAATTTCCCCTAAATTAGAAACAAACATGTTTAAATTTCACTGAAACGATACATAAATCTTTGCTCGTTAATTCCGTCAAGTTACTTACTTTTTCACAGCACGTCACAAAATAATAATTTTACCGTACGTTAAAAATGTTTGAAACAAACATCGCAAAAATATCGACAGAGAACAGTTTATCAATCTAGAATTCTCACGCAAGAAGAATCTTTAGTATACCTCGACCTCGTCGAAATTACATATTGCCTATCGTATGCTACGGTAATTGCTTATTTTCCAACTCCTACCACTTCGTAACATTATCGACTTTACGATACGTCAAACTTGCAGAAAACCATCGAGTAACTAAAATTAACACACAGAACCAAAGAAGTAACTACAACAACGAATAACAATTCAACATTCTTTTTATTTAAAATCGTTAAAAACTATTTGAAATCGATTTATTTCACATAAACTTGTTACTCACAATATTCCTCGTTCATAGTTCTTGTTCGATGTTATGAAAAACGAAGACAGCAAATGCAACAGGTTTAGTTTTAGCGAGAACAGAAAGGAATCCACTTGGCACGATTATACCAATATGTACTAACTTGTAAAAAGCTTCTCGCCTCAGTAGAACTGAGCTGTATATTCAGACCTGCGCCATGCATGCCTGATCAGATAGGCGCTTGTACTACTAATCCCTCGCACTCCTCGCATTGACAAACAGTGCGGGCTGCGA